GACTCCCCAAAATCTCTTTGGGGAATCTGTATGCTGTTACAACAACAACAACAACGTCTGTCCCAGCAAACTACATCACTCCCTATATACGATTACGTATTGGCCACACTATTATTACAAACAGTCATCTACTGAATGGTACCAGTCCTAACCAGTGCCCTTTTTGTGATTCCCCCGTTAGCGTTCTACACATTGTAGCTTTTTGTCCTGTTCTGGCAAATCACAGACATCGCATTTTTGGAAATGATGATCCATTGGATTACTAATGAACCCTTCTACTAACAATGTTAGTCACCCTGTTCCTAAATAAACTTAGCGACATATCGGGTGGCAACATTGTTTTGTGCCATATATCTACGAACAGATGAATTTCGGGTGAATGCTGAACGGATCGCCAAGTCAAGCAGACGTACCAAGAACTCAAGAGTGTTGCTGGAGTGGTGGCGGTCCTTGGCCAGATATATATCTATCTGCGTCGTTCCGGTTACGTAGACCCGACTGTCGTGGGGACAGACGTTGTTGTTGTTGTTGTAGCGGCTACAACAACCCCGCCCAGATCGGTTGGTATCTCAGTCGTTGTCGTCTAGTTCCACTAACGGCAACCCTAGGAAACGTGCAGCTTCTGTGGGATTTGTCCACAGGGACAAGGCCGTTAGGGTTGTCGGGTTTTCCGGGCATGCGAAGAGATGTTTCGAGTCATGTGGGGTCTCTCCGCATGCCGGACACGCATTCGGCACATCCTCATTCAACCTACTCAAGTAGGAGTTCAACCTGCTGCAGTAGCCGGAGCGAAGTTGTGCGAGTGTAGTGCGTGGGGACAGACGTCGAATACGTTGGTTTAGACCGATTAATGTTAATCCGGGAGTAATGATGGGTATAATTCGTCCAGTCAGCTGCTAACTTGGCACTTCTTTGTTGAGCTATAAGCCGGTTTATGTCGCTCTTGATGAAGAGAGAGGAGGTCATTGTAGGGGTGTTGCACATTTCTTTGGCAGTTGTTTCCGCCATCGAATTGCCTTTGATGCCCGAATGACCCGGAACCCACATGATTCTCAGTTTGTGGGGGGAGGCGATAAGGACGTCTCTTAAAGCACAGACAATGTAATTAGTATTGCTGAAGTTTTGTATGGCTTTAAAGCAAGAAAAACTATCTGTGCAAATTACAAATTTCCCTTTACTTTGCTTAGAAAAATTAAAAGCGTGAAGGATGGCAGTAGCTTCAGCTGTGAAAACAGAACAGAAGGGTAGCAGAAGACCGTACGATATAGGTATATTATTTTCTTTCACAGCAGCGAAAGAGGTGTTAGAAGATTTAGATCCATCAGTAAAAATGAACTGCCAGCCACTCGATTTGAACTGATTTGCAACTTCAGAGAATCGGGCTATGTACTCAGAGCTAGTTGTGCTGCCGAGAAACTTAAGTCTATTTGTACAAGGTATATTTATATTATTAAAAGACAGTAACGGAATAGTACAATTTCGTTTCGTAGAGGATGAGATTGAGGCGCCTGAAGAACGTGACCAATTGTATATGAGAGATAGAATTTCAGTAAAAGATACCATAACCGAAAATAGATTAGAAGTTTTAGAAAATAGTAGCAAATCATCAGCGTAAATAAGATGGCTGACATTAGGAAATTTGTTAATGATGACACTAATTTCATCAAATGCAATAATAAAAAGAATAACAGAAAGAGGGGAACCTTGTGGTGTTCCATTATCAAGAGGAAAGGTAGAAGTGAGAATGTTAGAAATGAAAACACTAATTTTATGATTCGAAAGAAAAGATTTTATAAAATTGTATATACGAGGGCCAACTTTCCATTCAATAAGCCGTCTTAATACCACATGGATGCCAATACGGTCAAAAGCTTTTAAAAAATCTATCGAGAGTAACGGATATGTGATTTCTGGAAGACAATGCTTCCGAAACAAAATTATCTAAATGCAAAAGAGCGTCAATAGTGCCCTCCCCCTCTTAAATGTTGTAATGGCATCGCTAACAATACGGCAGCACTATTCAGCGCCGTCGTAATGTTGGTAGCCCTGTTGGAACATACGTTCCACAGGTACTTAAAACCGAGTGAAAAAACGAATGCTAATGCAATTAGACAAACGACTTCAAACCCATCGGTAGTGTAATTTTCCTTAGTCTTTAAATAAAACTAATATTGTTCTTCAAGTGTTGTTAATTTTCTTAAATTCGCAAGTAGTTGACGGGCGTGAATAATTGGCAAATTTTTCTATAAATACAAGTTTGCGGAACCCATAAGAGTTCGGCCAATCTGCCACGAGGGCATAATAATTGTGCATAATTTACTGGTGTCGGCAGCCTAGCAGCGGATTTGTCTCCAGGACGATTTGGGGTAAGCGAGTGGGTTTTTGGCACGTGTGTGCAAAGTTCCAATGAGCGGGCTGCAGGCCCAACATGGCGACCGTGACAGGACGATTTGGGGTAAGCGAGTGGGTTTTTGGCACGTGTGTGCAAAGTTCCAATGAGCGGGCTGCAGGCCCAACAATGCAACCTGTTTAGGGTGGAGAAACTTATTCTTATGAACATACCAGGTGAGCCTGGATGCAATAACCTTCTCCATCAATTTACCAAGGCACGGCAGGAGGGAAATAGGGCGGTAACTACCTACCTCGCAGGGGGGTTTACCTGGCTTCAAAATTGGTATGATCGAGCTCTTCTTCCACAAAACAGGGTAATCACCAGTGATATAGATGTTGTTATAATGTGATACAATACGGGAAAAAAGAAAAGAAGGGAGATGTTTTATGATGATATAGGAGATCTTATCTATGCCAGGTGTTTGCCTCTAACAGTGGATAGAGCTGTGCGGAATTTAAGTAGAGAAAGATTAGCATCTAATAGCTTGGCAGAGGAAGATAGAGCGCTAGGAGGGAGATACGAGGATGAGATAATTGAACATTTAGTAGAATAAAATTGAGAAGGGAAACTAGAGTCAGAGGAGTTATTGGAATAATAGAGAGCAAATTCTTCAGCTATATCCCGTGGATATAGAAGTTTGCCTCGAGGTGAATTAATTGACGTGATGGAAGAGGAAGATGGAAATCCAGTTAACCTTCTTATAACCGACCAAATTTTTTTGGTGTCACAAGAAGAGTTAATGGAGGAAGTGAATTTTTGGAAGCAAGACATTTTGGCAACTTTAGATGCACGTCGAAATAAAGCGTAAGATTTCTTGTATTGAATAAGATTACGTTTGAATTCATGCCATTTACGTTGTTTATCTTGTCTTAACTCAGGTAGATCACTGTTCCACCATAAGGGGGTAGGCCTAACAGGTTTCGATGACGATACAGGGATAGATTGATTAGCTGCGCATCGAATAATTTTATGAATCCTGGAAGTTTCCTGATTGATATTGGAGGAGGGTGGAAATGAGTTGGAAAATCTAAAACAGGAGTCTTCAAATTTGACCCAGTTAGCTAAATCTGTTTTAAACAAGGATCTGGGCTTATAGGTCGTTAAAACACGGGAAGTAGAGATTTTGGTGACTATAGGAAAGTGATCACTTCCATGAAGATCATCTATTGGATGCCAAGAACATTTAGAGGATAGAAGACGAAAGGGTGATATCAATATGAGTAAAGGAAGAGTGAGTAGAAAAGTGGGTGGGGGATCCATCATTCAGAATAATTCCATTAGAAGTAAGTAAAAAATCTTCAATTTGACGACCTTTAGAATTAGCTGAAGGAGAACCCCAAAGGGGACTCCAAGCATTGAAGTCACCTGCTATAATATAGGGAGTAGAGGAAGAGGGAGTAAGATTATTAAAGTCGGTTAAAGAGAAAAATTCATTAGGAGGAGAATAAGCACAAATAATTGAAATTTTGTTTGCTAACTGGAGCTCTACAGCAACAGATGATATAGAGGAAGTAGGGTAATAGGTAGAATGAGGCAGATTTCTTTTAATTAGGATTGCAATGCCTTGTTTACTATTGGTAATTTGGGGAAGGTTTAGGAGGGTCCAATATAAGCTTTAGGAGTAGGGGCTATGATATTATGTGCAAGGTGGGTTTCATTTAACAAAACGACTGAGGGGTTAATAGTTTTAATTAAGTACTCTAGTTCAATATAGTTATTTAAATAACCATTCATATTCCACTGCAAGAGAGAAATCATGAAGGCAAGAAATAAAAGAAAGGATTACTTAGATGAAGAGGGGGGAGAGGAAAACTCAAGAGTATTAGGTGGGGAGAGAGGAATTTGTTGGGAAAAGGAAAGGGGAGAGACGAGCATTGGGGAAGGAGGAGGGGTGTTGGGTGAAGAGTTATCAAAGTTGGTAACGGGGGAGAAGTTAGGGGAGGGAGAGGAGTCTCCATTAGAAGGAGAAGAATTAGATGCGATGGAAGATTCATATTTTGATTTAATGTTGTTTTCAGTTTTTGTTGATGATTCTATGATTTGGTTGGATGTTTTTGTTATGTTTGCATAGGAATTAGCTTTGGGAGTAAACGGGATTTGGCTGTTATATTTTTTAATGGCTTCACGCATTGAACACTTATTTATAGTTTTAACTTTGAGGATCTCTCTCATCTGTTGGAATTTAGGACATTGGTTCGATGAGGAAGGGTGGTTGCCTGAACAAATAGCATATAAGACTCTAGTGCAATCTGATGGAGAATGGGTGGGGGGGGGATAAGTGTACACGTGGCACAGACTGGGGGATTATGGCAATGCTTAGCTGTGTGACCAATAGATTGGCATACCTTACAACGCATAGGGTTAGGGTAGTATGGACGAACGTCAAGAATCCTCCAGGCGACCTCAATTTTTTCCGGGAGAGTATATTTATCGAAGGTTAACAAGATGGCGCCAGAAGGCTTACGTGTGCTATCAATAATTTTTGAAAATTTATAAGCAGCTGCTACTCCTTGTTCCTTGAGGCCTTCAACTATTTCGTCTTCGGAAACGTGGATTAAGAAGGGCGCATAAATTGTGCCTTTTACCGAATTGAGGTTATTGTGTAACTTTATAGAAATATTTCCAACACCGGGTAATGTCTTAGCATTCAGGAACCTATCAGCAGCTTTCTTATTCTTAGCAAGCAGCAATAAGCTGCCAGTCGTTCCGGTCAAGGCATAAAGAGGTAGAAGTGATTTCTACATTTCTCTCTTTCGAACTGCCACTGAAATGTCAACTCTTAACCTTATACAATTAAAAATTCTAATTTTTTAGTTTACAATTTCAATTGTGAGCTGTGCTACTGATTTCAAATACACAATAAAATGAATTAGATTTACGAGCGGTGTGCTGTGTGTGACAAGAGCCAGGACAACAAACTTTATTGACAAGTGAAAGGAAAAGGGTGGGCCAATAGCTGCGGTGTTTCATTGGAATACTCTTCGTGTGCGTGCGAGAACCATTTTAGGGCCAGTGACTTTATATTTGTTGCCCATTGCAACTGAGTATTTGTAAGCGCTCTCGTTTGTTCCCAGGCCGTACCTGAGGTGTCTGTGGGAAAGAAGTTGTCGGTTTTGAGGCACATACCCAAACTGAGCAAGTATGCCATAAACAAGCACGACTGGATCCACGAGTACACTAACATACTATATAAGCATCCTTTAGGATCTTGAAATAGATACTTCGCCGACCTAAACGGGTGAATGCCGTTCTAGGCATACCGCCCCCAGACACAGACGAGACGGAGCTTCATCTGCCTCGGGAGACGCGAACGACACTTGCACAACTTCGCTCCGGCTACTGCAGCAGGTTAAACGCCTACCTGAGTAGATTGAATGAGGATATGCCAAATGAGTGTCCGGCATGCGGAGAGACCCCACATGACTCGAAACATCTCTTCGCATGCCCGGAAAACGCGGCAACCCTAACGGCCTTGTCCCTGTGGACCAACCCCGCAAAAGCTGCACGCTTCCTAGGGCTGCCGTTAGTGGAACTTGACGACAACGACTGAGATACCAACCGACCTGGGCGGGGTTGTTGTATCCGCTACAACAACAACAACAACATCTTGAAATAGACTTAGAGCACACCACAAACTAGACTACAAGTGATTGTAAGTAGTCCAAAGTTTGGTCCAAGCACATGTAAAATTCTATTTGCATTTAACATTGAATGTCCTAGGCTCGGACCAATTGTCCGCTTCTGCATTACATTGTAACCAATATTAGATATAAAAAAAATAAAAAAAATAAAACTTTTGCCAAATGCGATTCGAATCGGGGTTCTAAGATTTTCTAAGCAGATACTCAGCCTCATTGCGTAAGTCGAAATTAGGCTAAACTGTACGACTCGACAACATTGGCATTGTCAACTGTCGTGCTGAAATAAGCAAACGACGGAAATTGTCGAAAACTATGCAGTGCTGCCAAATTTTTCCGTTTAAATACACTAGACGAGTCGAAATTTTAGGCAATGACATGAAATTTTCGATACGATTCGACTCTCGAAAACGACTTGCATTCGACACGACTCTCGCAATGAGGCTGACTCTCTGTGCATGCCAACGACGCACATGAAAATTCGATGACTAAGTGCCTACATATCAGTAAAGCGTTAATTGTACCCGTTGTGCGCTACTGCGTGACATCGTAACCAATTTTAGATCAAAACTCATACCTTATGCATTACATACATTAGATACAAAACTACTATACCTACGACTATATTTTTCGAGCAACTGGACCAATGTTTCCTTCAGGGAAAATGCTCCTCGAACACTAATGATTCAATTTGGTACATGCATAACAAAGGGTTAATTTATTTGTTTAAATTTTTTGACATTACAGTCAGCTATGAGAGAGCTCGACTGAGTTGTCACTTCTACCTTGTTGAATATACCTTGGTTCCGGTCACGTAGACCCGACTGTCGTGGGAACGTGAAATTTTATTTTTTATCCTTCGTGTATATTTTTTGTGTTTGACAGCTAAGCTCCGCCATTTAATTTGCATATACAATCAGGGGTGATTGTCATTAATTAATAAATTGCGACGAATAAGTTTCAACTAAAGGAATAAAACAACTAACAACTAATAGTGTAGTGTGTAAAGTAAGGTTTTCATTCCCACGACAGCCGGTTCTACGTACCGGAATAACTCGGGTTTTACCCGACCAAGGGCTGTTGTTTCGGCGATCTAACCCCGTTTAGGTCGGCGAAGTATCTCAGAAGTTGTTCGTCCATAGGGCTACATTCGCTACGTTTTCTCCTACTCAGGGCTGGCATCGCGTCAAACCCAGGGCCAGAAACCTACACCTGCTGTGTATGCCAGAGACGACTACACCACAACTCCACCTCTGTCAAGTGCAATGCTTGCGAGGGGTGGTTTCACCTCAGAGTCTGCTCAGGACTACGGACACATCGGCAGTGGACCACGTCGTATGTGGCCCCCTGCTGCTCAAACAGAGAAGCCTCCACGGCTAACCTCAGTCCACCAGAGCAGCCTCACACAGTCACCACAGCACAACATAATAGCACCACAGACCATACCACAGCCACGACAGACCATATAACCACACACAGCCGCACCACCACCCACACGCCGCCGCCAACAACTCCTGGTTCCTCCTACAATCTGCACGGCATGTCAGACCAGGATTCCGTAATGTGACATCAGTCAAGTGCAACACCTGCCTTGGCTGGTGCCACTTTAGGGCATGCTCTGGTCTGCGTACCACGCGAGACTGGACGAGGAACTTCGAGGGCCCGTGTTGCGCTGCTCGGTCGCTTACCCCAACTGCTACGCCTCCCGCCACCACCACAGGGCGGCAACCATCACAGCAGCGCACTTAGCCAACGGCAGTAAGAACACACACATCCCTTACACACACAACCCACACCACAACACGTCTCCCGAACCACATGAAGCTCCTTCAATTTAACTGTAACGGGCTACAGAGCAAGATTGAGGAGATAACCGTCTTCATGTGTCGGCATGGTATATTAATAGCTGCGGTCCAAGAGACGAAGTTGCACAGCAATTCAACATTGTTGAATTGTGCCGGGTACAACGTGCACCGTCGAGATCGCGAGCGAGATAATGGTGGTGGCTTTGCGTTCATCACGCACCGCACCGTACAGTATCGTCTTATCGAAGCAGACATCGACCGCAGGGATACCACCCTAGAATGTCAGGGCATTGCTATCCGGTCAGGCGATGTCGAGCTCGAAATATTTAACATATACATACCCCCTGTCACCTGCTGCCCGGCAGGATATCACCCTGATATAGGTGCGCTCCTCAGAGGTGAAAACCGTATGGTAGTAGGTGACTTTAATGCGCACCACGATCTTTGGCACTCAAGCCTGTCAAACGATCGTAGGGGAACAGAATTGGCTGAGCAGATAGACGATTCGACATTCTGCACAATGAACGACGACGCACCCACCAGGATTATGGGTAACTGCAGCTGCTCGCCAGACATCATAATAGTCAGCGCTGGTCTGATAAACAGCATAACATGGCGACCTATGCTGACTTTAGCATCAGACCATCTACCCATAGTCATCTGGATAGATAAACCAACCGACTTTGCCTCCGCTAAGCACCGGACCTATATCAACTTCTCTAAAGCTGATTGGAAAGGTTACGCGGTCCCACACCAACCGACGTCCATCTCGGTGAACGTAAGTTCCGCAGGGCTGTCACTGCTGCTGCAGCTCGCTTCATACCGGCAGGATGTATAACGGACCCACGTCCAAACCTCGCTGCCGAAGCGGCTGTTCTAGCCGATGAGCGGGACAGCCTTCGTCAGGCCGATCCCGGAGATCCCCGTATTAGGGATCTCAACGCGGAGATTCGGCAACTAGTAAACGTACATAAGCGGAAGAAGTGGGAGGAGCATCTGAAGACCTGTAACTTCGCCTCTGGTGTGAGTAAGCTTTGGTCAACCGTGAGGTCACTGTCCAATCCGACGAGGCACGACGACAGAGTCGAAATTTCTTTCGGCGACCATGCTTCGTCGGACCCGGAGCGATGCGCGAGCTATTTTAGCCGGCAGCTCATACTGCATCCTCCGGTGGACAAAGCCAAGCGTCGAGTGACCAGAAGGCTGCACAAACTGCCAACAACTTGTGCCCCCCTTGCTTTCACTTGCGGTGAAGTTCAGGTGGCCATCGGGAAGGCGAAAGCCTCTAAAGCCATGGGTCCCGACGGAATATGCATGCTGATGCTGAAAAATTTGGGTCCTGCGGGGGTAGCGTCCCTAACGGAGGTCCTCAACTTGTCCATGGCCACTCTCATCATCCCAGACATCTGGAAGGTGGGGAGAGTGGTCCCACTGCTCAAACCGGGGAAACCCGCCAACATAGGAGATTCTTATCGTCCGATAACACTCCTTTCCCCGGTAGCGAAGACACTCGAGGCCTTGCTACTCCCGTACTTCACAAACCACTTGACCCCAGCGAAGCATCAGCATGGCTTCCGTAAAGTGAACAGCACAACAACAGCACTTAACGCCATAAACACTCAGATAACTCGTGGCCGTAACTGTAAACGTCCCTGTGAGAGAACGATTCTAGTAGCGTTGGACCTGTCAAAGGCTTTTGACACTGTCAGCCATTCCACGCTACTAGAAGATATAGAGGCTTCCTCTCTCCCACAGAGTCTCAAACGGTGGTCGGCAAATTATCTGAGTGGTCGACACTCGTCGGTAATGTTTAGAGACAAATCGAGCAAACTTAGAAAAATCAAACAGGAGGTTCCACAGGGTGGTGTCCTTTCCCCACTACTGTTTAACTTTTACATTTCAAAGCTCCCTCAACCACCAGAGGGAGTCTCGATTGTCTCTTACGCCGACGATTGCTCGATCATGGCGACTGGGAATGGAAAGTAAACGGATATCTCTCTGACCTTTCTCGCTTCTTCACTGCAAAGTGTCTAGCCCTCTCCCCTACGAAATCTTCTGCGACCCTGTTTACAACCTGGACGAAGGAGGTCAGGCTACCGCTAGGAATTCACGTCGATGACACACCAATTCCGACGGTGAATAATCCTAAAATACTCGGAGTGACATTCGACATCCTGCTCTCCTTCTCTGCGCACACAACCGCTATTGTCAATAAAGTACAGAGCCGCAACAAGGTCCTCAAGTCGCTAGCCGGCAGTACTTGGGGCAAAGACAGAAACGCTGCGGCTATAGGCCGGCCGGTTGTAAACTACGCAACAACAGTGTGGTCGTCGGGGACTAGTAGGACGCAGTGGACGAAGCTACAGACGGTACAAAATACAGCACTCAGGACAGCGACAGGATGCCTCCTGATGACACCAGAACACCATCTCCACGATGAGGCAAAAATGCTCCAAATTAGAGAGCACAACACGATGCTCTGCAAGCAGTTTCTTGTTGGGAGCCACAGATGTGGCCACCCAAATAGACAGCTGCTTGCAGAGGAGCCCTCGCCGAGGCATGTCAGGAGGCATCTATATGAACTGACGGACGAAGTCCAGAGGTTCATTAAGCAACCTCTGGACCCGTCAGCCCATAGACAGGCCCTGAACGGCATTCACAGGGACGCAGTCTCGAGTTATGTAGACTCAAGACCTGTGAATGCCGTTCTAGGCACACAAACAACGGACATTGACATGACGGAGCTCCATCTGCCTCGTGAGACCAGAACGACAATAGCCCAACTTCGCTCTGGCTACTGCAGCAGGCTAAATTCCTACCTGTGTATGTTAAATACGGATGTGCCGAACGAATGTCCGGCATGCGGAGAGACCCCTCACGACTCGAAACATCTCTTGGCATGCCCGGAAAACCCCACAACCCTAACGGCGTCGTCCCTATGGACTGACCCCATAGAGGCTGCACGCTTCTTGGGGCTGCCGTTTGTGGAACTCGACGACAACGACTGAGATATCAGCCGATCTGGGCGGGGTTGTTGTAGCCGCTACAACAACAACAACAACGATCCGGTTTGGGTTTCGGTTTTGCCAAGTGTTTCCGTTTCGGCTTTGGTTTCGCTCTTCAAAATTTATTTCGGTTTTGATTTCGGTTTCGTTCCGGTTCGGTTTTGGAATAAAAACATGAAAACAAATTTGGCAAAAAAAAATTATTTATTAAATAAATATGTTACTTTCCAAAGTTTGTTTTGGGCGAAATTAAGCATTATGATTAATTTTAATTTATATAAAGAAAACACCTCTGAATCAATTATATAAACTAATAACCATATTCCACCACATTTGCCTAGATCTAAATGCAGAAATTTGTTTATTATTATATTTATTATATAATGAGGGTTCTTGCTGATAAGTATTTGATATACATACATATAAGTAAGTCTGATTTTCACAGAAATTTTGTTGATACTGAAATATGCACGCACCTTTGGTCTTGAAAATATCCTCTTACTTAGCTGCTCCAAGTATGTAAATCAAGATCATAGATGTACACGTACTCCAAATTGTAGACGTGCAGTACTCGACGTTTTACTGCATAAATGTGCAGCACTAAGTTTGAAAAGTGCACTTACCCGACGTTTTAGCAAAATATACTCACTGCAACTTTAAAGTGTGATCGGTTTTAAATTACCAATGACTTCACGGCTCCACTATTCGATTCAAAGTGATCTTTATTTTATGTTATTTTCTAACAAGCATTCTTACAGTTATGCCTTACGATAGAAACACAAAATCACTTAAGGTCTAACCACATAATGCTTAATCTATTACTTAGAACAAAAACCTTACACTCTGTACTGACTACTACTACAACTCGGCCGTCCTGACAATTAGAATCTCCTGATTCTACGCCGAAATACTTTTTGCTATGTATCTGGCCTATCTCTGGACTCGTCTCTTCGAACCCCGGAATTTTTACATTGGTACCATGGTTTGAGGTTTGTCACCGACCAGGTGCCGTTATATGGTATCTGTGATTGCTGAAATCCCTCTACGTCTTCCACTAAGTAGCGGTCATTTTCTAAAATCTTAGATACTTTGTATGGTCCCTTAAACTTGGGGATTAGCTTACTGGACGCTCCTACTTGTGAATTAAGGTTAGAAATTACTACATAGTCTCCTACCTCGAATTTATGCGGTCTTCGCCGCTTAGCGTCTGCATAACTTTTGTTATAATCCTGTGCTTTTCTTTGCTCTTTTTCTACCCGACTTCTAATGTCTTCTATAGTCCTGGTATTTGTTTGTATTAGATCTAGAACATTTTCTTTCAGACTGTCTATGACTTCCCCTCTTTGTGTTACGCCGAACAGTACTAGGCTAGGTTGTTCTTTGATTGCCATGTGAACCGTGTTATTCATTGAGTATTCTACCGATTCTAAAACTTTTTCCCAGGACAAATCATTTTCTGCATTTACCATTTTCGCTATCATTGGTCCTAGGCTTTTGTTAACGATTGCTACTTGACCATTCCCTTGGGGCGAACTCGTTGCTACCTGTTATTTTCTAAAAACTCCTCGAATTCTTTGGATGTGAAGCAGGTTCCTCTGTCTGACACTATACATTTTGGTCTACTATAAGCTCTAAAATAGTCTTTAAGTGACGCAATTGCCTCCTTTGACGCGGTCGTCTTTGCTGGATATAAGCGTACGAATTTTGTGAACGCATCTACTATCGCTAATATGTGCTTATACTTCGTATTCTTACTATTAATCGGTCCATAGTGGTCAACATGTACCATTTCGAATGGCCTGTTTCCTTTGGGAATTATATTCAAAAATCCCTCTTTTTTCCCACTTTTATTAGAAAACGCTATATATTTTAAACAATTCCGTATATGTTCTGCCGCCTTTTTTCTCGNATATGTTCTGCCGCCTTTTCTCTCATGTTGGGAAACCAATAACTTTTACCTACAGTCTCGACAACCTTATCTATGCCCGTATGCCCCATCTCGTCATGGTATTTATAGAATACATGTTGTTCCATAGAATCCGGTACGTAGAAAAATAGGTCATTGCCTTTTTTCCTATAAACTATGCCATTTCTCATTTCGTAGTGGCTATTTTCCGTTGTTTCTAAAGTTTTCCTTATTTCTGTTATGCGTTCATCCCTATTTTGACATATTATTAAATTTTCCTCAAACGTGTTCGTATGTATAACTAAAACATTGTTAACTCTGCTTAAAGCATCGACGTGCTTCATTATTTTGCCTATTCTATGCTCAGCTCGTAGTCGAAGTTTTGCAACTCTAGCGCCCACCTGGCAATTCTCGGATTCATATCCTTCTTATTAAGAGTAAGTGTCAAGGAATTGCAATCGGTAACAATTTTGAACCTGATACCTTGTAAATACACTCGAAACCTTTTTAGTGCGTAAATTATTGCCAAAGTTTCCAGTTCAAAACTGTTCTTTTGGAACAGTATTGCTCCGAAGCCTAAAGCACTTGCGTCGCAATGTAGTTCTGTTATATCGTTAGGTTCGTATATTGCCAATACCGGGGATTCCACTAACTTTTTTTTTAGGCTATTAAAGGTTCCCAGTTCCATTTCACCGAACTGAAATTTTTTGTCTTTTTTCGTAAGGTCATAGAGGGGTTTAGCAACAGTTGAAAAATCCTTAATAAACCTGCGAAAATATGAGCACAGACCAAGAAAACTCTGGACTTCTTGAACTTTAGTCGGAAATGAAAAATTTTCAATGGCTTTTAACCCTTTTTCATCAGCTTTTATACCTTCATTCGTTATCACATAGCCTAGGTAAGATACTCTCGATTGTAAAAACTCACATTTGTCTAACCGTAGCTCTAAACTATTTTGCACTAACCTTATGAAAACTTTCTGTAAAATGTCTAACTGCTGTTCAATACTCTGCGTTGTGATCATGATGTCGTCGAGGTATATGATAACCTCCCCACTTCGAATCATGTCTGCGAAAATTTTATTAATCAATTTCTGAAAGGTTGCTGGAGCATTTCTCAGCCCGAACGGCATCCTGAGGAATTCATATTGCCCTAGTGGCGTCGTAAAAGAGGTGTATTTTATAGAATCTTCGCTCATAAAAACGTTGCAAAATGCATTCTTAAGATCTAGTTTGGTGAAAATTCTTTTGTTCACTAGCCTGTCTAGTAAGTCATATCTATAAGTGGCATGGGGTAACTGTCTTTTGACGTAACTTTGTTTAACTTCCTGTAATCAACGCACATCCGTAATTCTCCTGTTTTTTTCTTTACCAATACTATTGGTGATACAAACTCTGACTCACTAGGCCGTATGTAATCCTTTGCTAAATATTCGTCTATTATTTTCTGCAGTTCTTGCTTCTCGTTATACGATAATCTTCTAGGGGTACAACTGAACGGCTTATCAATTTCTAGCACTAATCGCATTTCCTTTCTTACCATAGGTCTAGTCGGTCGTTTGGAGTTAACATACGTTCTACTGAAAATATCACGGAAACGTTTTCCATCGCTGTATTCTACTTCTTCACCAATTTTGTAACCTGTTTCTTCGGTTTTATCATTATCGCTTCTTATATCTATTGCTAAAATTTGACTAACGAACTCATCATACACTTCACTACTTTCATTTGTTCCCACTACTTTGTCATTATCTTCGGCCTTATACATTTTCTCAACTTCGCAAACTTTGCTACTTTCATTTGTAACCATCACGTTGTCTTTGTCTTCGGGAATATACATTTTATCAAATTCGTTAAATTTTACTTCCAGTTGAAACCACTAATTTGTCTTTATCTTCAGCCTCATGCACTTTCTCAACTTTGTTAACATTGTTTTCAACGTCTACTTCTACTGTCTTATCCATAAATTCAATATTGCCAATTTTTAATTTTGCGTCGCACTCATTTATAAAGTTCCTCCCTAGTATCACCGAATAACCAATTGACTCATTGGGAACCACCAGAAGTTTAATTAACACTTGTTTATTCAAAACTTTAACATAAACTTTAATTTTTCCATACACTTTTAGAAATGATTTGTTTAATCCATAGTAGCAACTCTGCACTTCTAATATCTGCACCCTTGTTGGAACCAAAGCTTGTTTAATTAAACTTATAGGGCTTCCGGAGTCAACTAGGCATTCTACGAACATTACAGTATTAGATTCGGTTATGATACTTAAACTAAAATAACTTACAAGTGTTTTTTGCTGGCGTCTTCTTATACTGCTTCAGTTAGGTGCGTAGTATCCCTGCTCTCCGCATGCAAAGCACGATCCGGCCTCCCGTTTCGGTTTTTGGCACTCCTTGCCATAGTGACCCGTACAATTGCAGTTATAGCATCTCAGCCTATCGCCCGTTGGAACGTTTGTAGTAGTAGTAGTTGTTGTTGTTGCCTTTCTAGGCGGTGGTTGTGGTAGTGTAATCGAGCAAAATGCCCTAATAACTTCGCTCGCCGTTGAACAATTTTGTAGCTTGGCTTGGATACGCAGTTGCCTGTCTGGTATGCCTTCGACTAAATAATCTGCTAACTCGCCGTCGCTAAGGTTTAGTCCACTGCTAAGAACGCACTTGTCGTTGAAGTAATTTGGGAAGCTTTCATCAGATGACCACATACGTTTTTCGAATTTTCGCCGTTTCTCGAATTTGTTTTCATATGATGCAAACACTGATTTCATTTCCTTCAACAGCTCATCAGTGTTTTTTGGAAATGTTGTCTTTGCGTTGTACCAAGCTAAGGCTGCACCTCTCAACTTTAAATGAACAACAACGCCCATTGGAGCGTCGTCCACGTTAAATACGTCCCTGTAGTGAAGCAGTTGCTTCTGCCAAGCGTTAAAATCGTCGCCACCCTCGTATTTCGGAATAATTTCCTTCAGCATCTCGAAAACATTATTTGCGTCTTTTTGTTTGCTTGTGCTGACCGCCATTTGGTCTTTTTCCAACAACCGTTTTTTTTAACTGTAGTACTTCTAGTTCTTTCTGCACCAACTCTAGCTTGAGCTGCTCCATCTCTACGTTGTCTCGCTCACACACAGATTGGTTCGGCTCGTTATGCTGCGTTGTTCATTGTCTTTGTCCAAACGGTCTCCAAATGTACCGCTACGTACACTAGCCACGCCACTTTGTACAAACACTACATCGTCGCCGTTGTTAACCTCTTTTGACGCACCGTTGATAACCTCTTTTGACGCACCGTTGTTGACTTCTTTTGACGCACCTTTGTCATTCCTTTGCCGCTCAACCATATCTTTGCCCGCAACGTTTTCTTTTTCCGTAACGTTTTCTTTACCACTGCTCGCTCCATCTTCCGCACCATTGTCTTCGCCCGGGCAGATTCCTCGGGCTTCTGCCGATAGTTCTTTCAGTCTAGCAGCTAGCGACGCCTTTGCACCGCTTGCGTTGACACCTACAGCAGCGCACCAGCTTTTCAATTGCAGAAGCGAGTACTTCTCAGAGTTGACTCCTTCGGACTCCATACTTTGTTCTTTTGTAGGAATGGGTCTAACGACCACTTTTGATGAAATATGCACGCACCTTTGGTCTTGAAAATATCCTCTTACTTAGCTGCTCCAAGTATGTAAATGTGCACGTACTCCAAGATCATAGATGTACACGTACTCCAAATTGTAGATGTGCAGTACTCGAAGTTTTACTGCATAAATGTGCACCACTAAGTTTGAAAAGTGCACTTACCCGACGTTTTAGCAAAATATACTCACTGCAACTTTAAAGTGTGATCGGTTTTAAGTTACCAATGACTTCACGGCTCCGCTATTCGATTCAAAGTGATCTTTATTTTATGTTATTTTCTAACAAGAATTCTTACAGTTGTGCCTTACGATAGAAACACAAAATCACTTAAGGTCTAACCACATAATGCTTAATCTATCACTTAGAACAAAAACCTTACACTCTGTACAGACTACTACTACAATACTATTTAAATTACAATGTCTTAAACGTTGAGGAAAGGGAACGCAAAAAACCACATTTCGTGCCCAGAATTTGAGAAACAGCTGATTCACGTTGTTTTTGTTTTTGTCATTTCAATGCAAACACTTGAAAATTTAATTTTGGTTTCACAAATTTGATTTTAAGTATAAAGATAGAAAATACATCAACAGGCCATTCACTATTCCTTAAAAGCACCAAGTAAATGCAGGCAACATGATATGCACTTTGACACTTTATCTATTTCTACCCGGAGAAAAAGTCCGGGCTGTTTCGCGCAGGAAGAAGAAGTCACTTACGATCCAATACGTTCCCATTTTCGCTCTGTATTACCCATTTTGTTGAGTACACGAATGATTTCTGGGCTATTTTGGGCACACGCGGGATACCGCATTGCGTACGAGAAAGAAACTACTTAAATATAACACTGTACGGCAAAATCAACTTTTTTCCGGGTATTATTTCTTCGAAAAATTAGATTACTTATATTTCAAACAATTTTGAACAGATTTTTAAAAAATTTACATCATTGTAAAGGTGATTAACCCTCCTTTTTTTGATGTGCATATTTGTATACTTCGAATATAAAAATTTTAGAAAAAACACAGTTTAAATGAAAAGATACATTTTTTTATAAAAAAAAATATTTTAAACAAAAAACTAACTAACCGATTTTTAAAAAATTGTATCGTTGCAAATATGGTTAAATTCCCTCTCTTCTGATATGCATATTTGTATACGTCGCATATAAAAATTTGAGAAAAAAACACATTAAAAGAAAAAAAATACCTTAAAAAAAATATTGTAATCAAAAAAATCACTAACCGATTTTTAAAGCGGTAGTATCGTTGTAAAGGCAATTAAACCCGCTTTCTTCTGATATGCATATTTGTATACTTTGTGTATAAAAAAAAAAAACAAAAAAAATAAAAAAAATACTAACCAATTTTTAAAAAATTGGTATCATGTAAATGCAATCAAACTCATTTCTTCTGATATGCATATTTGAATACTTCGTATATAAAAATTTAAGAAAAACCGCATTTAAAGGAAAAAATAAACTTTTTTTTTATAAAAAAAAATATTTCTAACAAAAAAGTGCCAACCGATTTTTAAACAATTGGTACCGTTGTAAAGGCGATTAAAAATTTGAGAAAAAACATTTAAAAGGAAAAAATACTAATTTTTTCTTATAAAAAATATTTTAAACTAAAAAATTACTAATTAGAAATACAATTGAATACTTTACTTAAATAAAAAAGATTTTTTTTTGTCTTTTTTTATATTTAATTTAAATCAGCAATTTGTTGTACTATAAAAGATTATATCTTATTGTACTAATGTTTATACATTTATAAAATGAAATGAAAACCTGTTATATAAAAAATCAAAAACCATGGTGTTATTATATTTTTATGTGCCTTCGAAGCATACAAATATGCATATCAGAACAAAAAGAGGGTTTAGTCGGCTTTACAACGATACGTTTTTTAACATCGGTTAGTAATTTTTTTGTGAAAATTATTTGTATTTAAACAAAAAAAATCTATTTTTTCCTTTAAATGTGCCTTTTTCACATTTTTATCTACGAAGTCTACAAATTTTCATAGGGGATTAAATCACAATTACAACGATATGAATCTATTATTAAAAATCAGTTCAAAAGTTTCTGAAATATTAAGTTTTTAATTTTTTGAAGATCTGACCTTTGACTCGTTATAGCACCTGTAATATAAGTTCTCACAAAAAAAGTTATATACCATATAAATCTTAATTATATTAAACGAGCAATTCTTGTATATATACCGTCGTTTAAAGTACAAAACCGCGTATCGTCATTCTGCAAAACCGCGTAACTGACATTGGCTGCCAAAAATTGGATTTGCTCACACAAGCTCTTGGCTCAATCCTTATCCATTCGTCCTGAAATATACTAGCCTGAAATGCGATTTCTTTATNATTTGAGAAACAGCTGATTCACGTTGTTTTTGTTTTTGTCATTTCAATGCAAACACTTGAAAATTTAATTTTGGTTTCACAAATTTGATTTTAAGTATAAAGATAGAAAATACATCAACAGGCCATTCACTATTCCTTAAAAGCACCAAGTAAATGCAGGCAACATGATATGCACTTTGACACTTTATCTATTTCTACCCGGAGAAAAAGTCCGGGCTGTTTCGCGCAGGAAGAAGAAGTCACTTACGATCCAATACGTTCCCATTTTCGCTCTGTATTACCCATTTTGTTGAGTACACGAATGATTTCTGGGCTATTTTGGGCACACGCGGGATACCGCATTGCGTACGAGAAAGAAACTACTTAAATATAACACTGTACGGCAAAATCAACTTTTTTCCGGGTATTATTTCTTCGAAAAATTAGATTACTTATATTTCAAACAATTTTGAACAGATTTTTAAAAAATTTACATCATTGTAAAGGTGATTAACCCTCCTTTTTTTGATGTGCATATTTGTATACTTCGAATATAAAAATTTTAGAAAAAACACAGTTTAAATGAAAAGATACATTTTTTTATAAAAAAAAATATTTTAAACAAAAAACTAACTAACCGATTTTTAAAAAATTGTATCGTTGCAAATATGGTTAAATTCCCTCTCTTCTGATATGCATATTTGTATACGTCGCATATAAAAATTTGAGAAAAAAACACATTAAAAGAAAAAAAATACCTTAAAAAAAATATTGTAATCAAAAAAATCACTAACCGATTTTTAAAGCGGTAGTATCGTTGTAAAGGCAATTAAACCCGCTTTCTTCTGATATGCATATTTGTATACTTTGTGTATAAAAAAAAAAAACAAAAAAAATAAAAAAAATACTAACCAATTTTTAAAAAATTGGTATCATGTAAATGCAATCAAACTCATTTCTTCTGATATGCATATTTGAATACTTCGTATATAAAAATTTAAGAAAAACCGCATTTAAAGGAAAAAATAAACTTTTTTTTTATAAAAAAAAATATTTCTAACAAAAAAGTGCCAACCGATTTTTAAACAATTGGTACCGTTGTAAAGGCGATTAAAAATTTGAGAAAAAACATTTAAAAGGAAAAAATACTAATTTTTTCTTATAAAAAATATTTTAAACTAAAAAATTACTAATTAGAAATACAATTGAATACTTTACTTAAATAAAAAAGATTTTTTTTTGTCTTTTTTTATATTTAATTTAAATCAGCAATTTGTTGTACTATAAAAGATTATATCTTATTGTACTAATGTTTATACATTTATAAAATGAAATGAAAACCTGTTATATAAAAAATCAAAAACCATGGTGTTATTATATTTTTATGTGCCTTCGAAGCATACAAATATGCATATCAGAACAAAAAGAGGGTTTAGTCGGCTTTACAACGATACGTTTTTTAACATCGGTTAGTAATTTTTTTGTGAAAATTATTTGTATTTAAACAAAAAAAATCTATTTTTTCCTTTAAATGTGCCTTTTTCACATTTTTATCTACGAAGTCTACAAATTTTCATAGGGGATTAAATCACAATTACAACGATATGAATCTATTATTAAAAATCAGTTCAAAAGTTTCTGAAATATTAAGTTTTTAATTTTTTGAAGATCTGACCTTTGACTCGTTATAGCACCTGTAATATAAGTTCTCACAAAAAAAGTTATATACCATATAAATCTTAATTATATTAAACGAGCAATTCTTGTATATATACCGTCGTTTAAAGTACAAAACCGCGTATCGTCATTCTGCAAAACCGCGTAACTGACATTGGCTGCCAAAAATTGGATTTGCTCACACAAGCTCTTGGCTCAATCCTTATCCATTCGTCCTGAAATATACTAGCCTGAAATGCGATTTCTTTATACAAAAGAGAATCGTTTTGAAATATGAATGTTTTTACTCTCTAGAAAATAATTTATGCAACCTCACATACGCGGTTTTGCATTATCTTGATACGCGGTATTGCATTTTCCTGATACGCGGTTTTGTACTTTAAACGACGATATATATATATCCATAGGGTTCTCGAAAACGGCTCTAACGATTTTGATTAAATTTTTTACACAGATAATG